AAAAAAAAAAAAAAATCACTTTGCCAAAAAGTCTTAAGGGTCCATTGGTTCGACTGTTTCTTGCTTGACCTTTACAGGTAACAGAGGTAGTGGGTGACCGTGAGGCAACTTCATAACTGACATATCTGACGACTCGTAAAGGTTGCATCCTGAGGAGATAAGACCATTTCCCAGGTTCCTCTGCAGAGATACTTTCAGATTAGCGCCTTCCATTTCCCTCCTGAGCATGGTCAGTATATCCTTCTCCACGATGGATGTTAAGTCGATATTGTCCTCCACTTCTTCCAACTTGTCGGCATTGTCACTGATGTCAAACTTCTCGATCTCCTCGTTGATTCGATTCAGGTCCTCCATGGAGAGGCCGGAGGCAGGGGCGACGGGGCAGTTGCCCTTCAGGTGGACCTGGAGGCTGCAGAGGTGAATGTAGCTCTTGTGGCAGTGGATGCATTTATGGGGACGTTCCCGGGTGTGGAGACGCTTGTGCAGCTTCAGGTGCACAAACTGGGTGAATTTGGCCGGGCAGAGCTTGCACTGGTAAGGCTTCTCTCCAGAGTGGAGCCGCAGGTGGGTTTTGAGATTGCTGGTGCTGCTCAACCGCTTGTGACAAACCTAATGTGGGGGGTGGCAGAGAAACAGTGAATGAGTGGGAGGGGATTTTATGGTTGAAATCACAGACCCTTAGGAGGAGACGGCAGGATGAAGCAGCAGCTTTTTCTTTCTGTCTTCACACTTTCTCACAAGGGGAAAAAAATCCCCACCTTTTACATTTAAATACCGCTGAACAGCATTTTGTGTGCGGTCGATGGCAAAACCGTATCAGGCAGATGTTGCTCTAGCAGGCTAAGGACAACCCTGCAGTCTCGCAGAGGCTGCTGCACCAGGGCTGGGAACGGCTGTGACACGGACTCCAGCCCTGAGCAGCCACGGGTCTGTCACACAGCCCTCCCCGCACGCCGCGCGGGGGGTGCACGGGCCCTGCTGTCCCTTCAGCCTCCAAGGCGAGTTGTCTCTGTGGGGTGCTACCTACCTGACACTCGTGGGGTTTCTCTCCCGTGTGTACCAGATAGTGCTTCTGGAGGTGAGCCAGCTGCGTGAAGCCTTTATTGCAAGTCTGGCATTTGAAGGGTCTCTCCCCGCTGTGTACTCGGAGGTGCACCTAGGGAGACACACAGCAATTAACAATTTGCAGTTTCTAGCACCGTAACAAAAGTACTTTCAGATGTTTCCTACAGTCAGCAGAAGACTCCCGTTGCCAAAGTACAACGTTATCTAGTTAATTAGGTGGCGTCACTATTAAAACACTGTCTTTCCAACCATGCCTTCTTGCTGGGGGTGCTGTATTAAACCCAGACTGATAAAACAGCCTAACCAGCAAGGGAGGCTTCTCCCAACTTTTCCTAGGTAACCTACGGGGAGAAGCCAGAGCCTTCCAAGAAGGCTTGTGTCTTATTCTCCGCTGCCTACCTTCAGATTGGAGAGCTGGCCAAAGGTCTTGGAGCAAACGTTGCACTCGTACTTGATCTTCCCGTTCTGCTTCTTCAGTGGGTACGGGAGGGTTTTGTAACCGGTCACGTTCCTCTTACTTTTGATGAGATTCATGGCTTCTTCACCGCCGGTGGCAGCCAACACCACTGAGGTAGGTTTAGGTTGCATTATGTGTTCTGAACTGGCTGCTGTACCAGCCGTGGGTGACCCGCTGGTGGGGCTGCATGGCTTGTCCTTCATGCTGGCAGCAGCGCCCGTGACAGAGAAGGCACTGTTGGGTGCTGGTATGAGGAAGTCTCTCGGATGATCAGGCTGCAGCAGGCGACGGCCTCCCTCACTGGGCAACGAACTGGGGAGCGTGGTGGGGTTCAACACGTGGTGGGAAAGGCTACCTCCGCTGAGCAGGTTGCCATAAAGAGGATACATCCTTGGGAAGAGATTGAAATTGTTGATGCCATTGATATTGTTCAAAGCGCTCAGGTTACTACAGCTCATGTTGAATGGAGGTAACAGGAATTTGGGGTAGTGGGGGTTATAGGATGGCAGAAAGGCAGGTGGGAGGTGGCCAGGGGGTGCGTATCCAGGGTAAGACCCCAATCCTTCTGAGCCATACGATCCGTTCAAGTAAGAGTACGGCTCTCTGTGCTCTTGGGAAGTAGGTGCCAGAGGTGAAACCGTGACCCCGGGACTGCTGTGAGGGCTTGAACTTTTTAAACTTTGGTCTGGGCTGCTCCTCCCGGAAGGACTCGGCGTAGTAGACGCCTGGATGGGTGAGTGAGTAATGTAGCTGGGTCTGTCCATCCCATAGGATAAGGAAGCTTTCAGATAGTCTTCTGGAATGTGAGGTCGGATCGGGTAGACAACTCGAGGGAAGAAACACCTCTCTGGGCTATAGTTCTTATGCAAATCATCTAAGTCTTTTTCTGGAGTAACTGGTGAAATGTTGGTCTGGAAGAAGTCTTTTCCTTTTGGAGGATTCGATTCCATTTTCAGGATTTCTTTCACACTGTGCTCCTTCTTTGGGATGCTCTTCTGACAGAGCTCATCTTTATCAGCACTGTGCTGCTTTGGATTAACGTGGGTTTGTGCTGAAATACAAAGACAAGGTAATGATTATTTAGATATGCCACTGTCATTATCTCTTTTCAAAACACAACCTAACTCCGACAGGTTTAGTGAGAAGGAAGGGCTGCTCTTGGATATGAGCAATCATTTAAGTCACCAAAAACCTAATTTCTGTGTGAAGAAATGCCTCCTAGTATTTAAGTGTTAATAAAAAGCATTGTTAATTTAAGGGACATCAGCCAGTACGTACAGATCTAGATGACGATTCACTTGCAGAGCGCTAGTCTCCGCTTTGCAAACTGATTTCACCGTTCCTCCCCCTTAAATTTGACTAGCTTTGCTGTTGAATGTCTGTTTAAGCAGTATTTCTAATAAATGTGGTAACAAGCATTTGTTCACAATGCAGGTTTAACAGAAGGACTTTGCAGAACACAAGCTCCCAGAAATGTTCCTCAGTAAAATAACAAGGCATGACAAATCGGCTTTTGCCAAACCGCAGCAGTCACTTCACCAGCCAGTTCAATTACTTACAGTACCAAAAAACCCATGGCTGGCTGGGATGAAAGCCTTCTTCAAAGAGAAGGTATTCTCCATCAGTAAACAGATCATTACTCATTAAATATACTGCTTAGGAACATGTACAACAAAGCAGACTATTTACTGCAGATTTCTGTGGCATTCCGTCTATGCAAAACTCCTCTGCTTACAGCTGTACTTTATAAAAAAAATGCTGAAGCAAAGCAAAAGAAAGCAAAGCTGGTTGGCTCCAGCTTAG